AACTATGTGAAAGAGCTTTCACCGTTTACAGTAATGTTGCTTCTTCTGCCAGGAACCTTCAGTAAATGGATCTTAAATTGTACAATTTCAATAATTTAAAAATTAAATTGGAAAATCCCAGCACTGTGAATTGAACTCATTGTTGCAGAAACTGTGTGCATTATACTCTGGTTGCAGATGTTTTGGGGCATTTCAGCTTGCTCTTATTTGTCTGTTGTTGTGAGACCTATTCATTTAAATAATTTTAAAAGGGTAGGAAACGATAGACGGGGTGGAAAGTGAGTGAAAGGAAAAGCAGAAAGGGATGAAAAGGGAACATGAAGGATCTGAGGGAAACTCAGAGCACACAGAAGCTGATATAAAGAGACTTTAACAAGCAGGCGTACCTGGTTTTTGTAGAAAAGCAGGTACTCCACTTGTTAAAGTACTGAAGCAAAGAAAGTTACAGATCAGTCTGAATGAGTTAGTGTGGCTTGCGTGTGTGTGTGCATGAGGGCTATAAACCAACACATCTGGGACTGTTTGTCACTTCATGAGAACAACAGTAAGCGTGGCAAGATCTGCACACATTCATTAGAGCTGGAGAGTGTTGCTCCGTGCTGATAGTTGTAATAATATATTTCCTGCGTAACAACGCCTGTGTAATGACAGACTGTGATTAGATCATCAGACTCTCACTGCAGCAGCCTGAAGTCACATTACCGTGTCTGGTAGGTACAACAAAAACTCCTCAGGTTTCGGCTACGGGAGCGAGATCAATGACATTTTTATTTCAACCAGTATTACTGTGTGCTCTACAGTGGTAGTGTGCTGTTATGACTACTCAAGAGCCTAAGTTTGGGGTCAGAAGTGGTCAGTTTCTTCAAATGTGAATGTTATATCCTACATTTATATAGGTTTACATCAAGCTAAAAAACAACAAATTACAATGAAACTAGTTATGGGTGCTTATTATTGATAATCAATTAAACTTTTAAAAATGTTCAAGCAAAACTAGTGACAAAATGGCCATTTAAACTAAATGTTTTGGGGTTTTAGACTGCTGGTTGTAGAAAACAAGGCATTTAAAGAGGTCACACTGGGCTGTTTATTTCAAGACTAGAAAGGTGCTATATTAGTATTGTCCATTGTACCATTCCTGGAATGAATGTAGCCTGTGACGCAAAGCCCAGAGCGAGAAAAGTCTGTAGGACACTGCTTATGTCTCACTCCAATAACTGAAGGTGACTTAGACGAAAACATCAAAATTTTCACACTTTTTTGGGGGTATTCTGGCAGCCGGAAAGCGACGGTGCTTTAAAACAGCGAGCAGTTGTTGCCTCCATTGATTTAAGTGCAAAGACGGCAGTGGCAGTGACACGGAGAACGGGCGTGGCTACCTCTTTAGTGGCCGTAGCAGCTGGTGTGACCATGGCAACCACAAAAATCACAGTGAGGAAAACGATACAAGAGATGGTTTTACTGGTTTCTGAGTTCCTTAAATCAACTTCCTCCTCGCCAGCGAAGAACAGATAGATCAGTGAAGAGACATGGTATCAGTTTTAAATTAACTGATTATCCAGTCTTACTATATTAATCATGTAATACTGCTAACCATATCCTACAACCTGTTCTATTCAGCTGAGATTATACTAGTTGTAGTACTATTGTAATACTAGTAGTAACAGCCTGGTAGAGGGACCTACTGTAACTAAAGAGGACAAGAAGAAGAGGAGAAGAAGAGTGTGGGGTACAAGTAGGGTTCAGCAAAGTGAGAGGGACATGTCCTAACCTACATGCATCTTAAAACCACACGCTTCTGATGTGGCCTCACTTGCTGTTGCAGAGGCATGCACTGTTAGTGATTCTTGGTAAATATTTACTCTGCAGAGGACATAAAGACGAGCTAAGACGAGAGGTAATGCTTTGAGAATCACTGAAATTTGGGGTGAAAGACTTGAAAAAGGGAGAGGGCAGGAAGAGGAGGGCGTCTTTCTGTAAAATGTCTGCTTCAAGCTGGTGTGTCTCTCTATTTTTTTTTTTCAGGCAGCTTCTTCTTGAATTCCACCTTTTCCTCCCCTCTCCCTCTGACAGAATAACTTCTCCTCTTGTTACACTCTGCGTTTGCTCACACACACACACACAACCCCTCTCTCTCTCTCTCTCCCTCTCTCTCTCTGTCTCTCTCTCACACTTTTCCAAGAATCCCTCTCTTCCCCTGACACAAACTTCTTCTTGTCTTTCTGTAGAATCTTTTTCTCTCCATCCGACTCTGTCTGTTGCTGCTGCTGACCTTCCCTCACTTTACTCCCTCTGTCTCCTGCAGCACCAGGAGTGTCTACGTCCTCCCATACTACACCTAAACGCTCATTCTCACCAGCCTTCATCTCCATTTCTTTTTTCACTCCCTCTCCACCTTTTCTTCCCCCCCTTGCCCTTTAGCTCACCCTCCCACTACTGTGTGCAGATTTTCTAAAAACAGTACTCTCTTTCACTACTACTTAACTGCGTCACTTCCTTTACCACCCTCACTCTTGTACACACACACACACTTCCCCTTTTGCCCCTTTCTTCTCCTCTGTCCTTCCCCTGGTTCCCAACTTGCTTCTGAGCAACAGTACAAACACCCATACACAAAGCCAATCACACTTTTGATGGGCCTCAGGCGCAGTGTGTTATGACAAACACACCTAATATATAATAGGATGTGTCACACTCCGTCTGGCTCACCCCCTAATCACACACACACACACACACACATATATACAGTACATACAAGCCTGGGCAAAGTCCCGCATTCAACCTATTTTTAAGCAATGAAAAGACTTATAAAAATGTGGACTGACAATCTACTGCAGGAGCAAACAAGGCTAACGCAGAGGCTAATGTTGGGTAAATATGTAACCCAATGAGTCAGGCTCAGCCATCACAGGACTGCTATTAGCGCTGCTGGCACACACAGGGCGAGTATTCTGCCAACTACTAAATCTGTTTTAACATGGGGACTATCACACACAGCCGGGCAGAGACAGAAAAGGGGAGAGGGGGATGAAAGAGGGCAAGAGAGGCTGCCAAATTATCTTAAGAGATGAAAGTCAAGTACCCAAGAGTGCCAACCCGGGCCCAAATTCAAGTGTCTCCACTTCCACTCAGTAAAGAGCCAGTTGTGGAAATAACGTGT